GGGCACGCTCTGGGAGAGATGAAGGGGCAGCGGGGCCTTCGGGAGGAGCCATGAAGGGCTGCCTGTTCGAGAAGGCCAGGGGACCCCCAGAGTTGCTCCAGGCTCCATGACCCGGCAGTTTCAGGACTCCGCACGTTTGCACTGGCTGGTGACCTCCGCTTGGTTCTTTTCTGAACCGACTCAGGCGCTCCCACCTCCAGGAAGCCGTTCCAAGCGATTGCAGTCTTCCCTGACCTAGTTGTTTATGCATAATTCTCTGCTAGCCGTTGCCTTGTTTTGTTTCAACTTATGGGTGGGGCAGTGCCGGGCAGGAGAGGCCCTCATAAATAATAGTAGAGGTAATTAGTGCCAGAGTGATTCCTAACGAATCAAAAGGAGCACGAGCCCTTTCCCGGGCCTACAAGCATCAGAGTTCTTACTGATTAAATCAAGAAATGCTTACTGAGCCCTAGTGTGCCAAGCACGGAGAACATAGTGTGAACAAAGACAACCTCTATCCTTATTGCCCTACCTACGGGGTGCAAGGCCAAGTACAAGGAAACTACTGTAAGCAGACCCTCAAGGGAGCTCTGGGAATCTCGGAAGAGTAGCTCCCTGCCCCTGGTGAGTGTGCACTGAGTTGGTGAAAGTGGGCTGTAAACTGAATCCCTTTGACTCCTCCCCCTCCAGGCCCCATTGTGACCCTATACTCACTCTACTGTCTTTGCACCAAATCCTGGTTAACTGTTGTCAACATATTTCATTGAGATCATTGTTGAAAATGGGCACTTTAGAATAGGTGCTGGCCGGGCACTGTGGTTCACACCTATAATCCCAGCGAGGCAGGAGTATTGCTTGAGGCCAGGAGTTTGAGATCAGCCTGGGCAACATAGTGAGAGGCTGTCTTTTAAAAAAAAAACAAAAAAAAACAGAGAGTAGTGCCTTCTCCCAATACAGTTTACCGCATCTAAGCTGAGTGGCAGCCACTCAACCAGTCCATGACCAGAGAATGGAAAGGCTTTCTGGAGTGCAGAATTGGTGATTCTGTCCTCTAGGAAGGACAGTTCTACAGCGATAAAGGCAAGGGAGATCGGTAACTGTGAATTAGGGATTTTGTTAAAATGTAGATTATGACTCTCAGGTCTGGTGTGGGACCTGAGAGTCTGCATTTTGACAAGTCCCCAGGTGATGGAATGCTGCTGGTCATCTGTCATGGGACCAGCTTTGAGCAAAAAGGGTGTGTAGAAGATTGTGTTTCCAAGTACATTGGTACAGGTGAGCCAAAAATTGGCAGAAGGAGATACCATCCCTCTCCATTGCCCCCCTCTATCACTACCCCAAACTGAGTGGCTTTAAACATACATTTATTCCCTTGCAGTCCCTGAGGTCAGCAGTCCAAAATGAGTTTTACACATAGGACAAAAATCAAAGTGTCAGCAGGGCCGATTCCTTTCAGGCTCTGTGGAGAATCCATTTTCCTGCCTTTTCCAGTTTCTAGAGGCCATCCTTGACTCATGGCCCTGAATCACATCACCTTTTCTCCCTATGCTCTGTCATCACATCACCTTCCCTGTCTAGCCTTACTGTATTCCTCTTATAAAGATATTTGTGATTACATTTTACCTACTTGGATAACCCAGGATAATCTCCCCATCTCAAGATCCTTAATTAATCAAGTTTACAAAGTTCTTTTCGTTATACAAGGCAACACATTAAAAAGTTCCAGGTATTAGGACACGGACACCTTTGGGCGCCATTATTCAGCCCTAAAACAAAGACTTTCTCTTGCTTACTCATATTTCAGTTATCCAAAATCAAGAAATTTAACCCACATAATCTATAAGTCACATTTAACTTATTCAATTTTCCCAATTATGTCCTTCATACAATTTTTTTTTTGTCCAGGTCCAATCTAGGATCTTGTGCTGCATATAATTATCACAGCTTTTTAGACTCCTTTGATCTATAATGGTTCCTCATCTTTTTTTTTTTTTTCATGACCTTGACATTTTTAAGAGCACAGGCCAGTGGTGAACTGTCTCTCAATTTGACTTTGTTTCATGTTTCCTCAACTAGATTCAAATTTTGCATTTTTAGAGGTATCTACAAAAATGTATTATATCCCATAAGAAGGGCATCACATCAGGAGGCATTTGATGTCACTTTGTCCCCTCATGGTGATGTTTACTTTGACCACTTGGTTAAGGTTGTGTTGGCCATGTTTCAACACTGTAAAATTTCCCTGTTTCACTTTGGAATTAGTACATAATTTGTGAGAAGAAAATTGGAGACTGAGTAAATATCCTATTCTTTGTCAAATATTCACCCAGTTTTAGCACACGTTGATTATTCTATCTTGATTCGGTGTACTATGATGGCTAGGAAATGGCAATATTTAAAAACTATTATCTTTCCACATTTATTAACTAGCATTCTACTTTAAGAACTTTGCCTTTCTCCCCCATTCATCTGCTTATATATTCTCATATGGACTTATGGATTCTTATTTTATTGTATGAGTTTTACACATAGGGCAAAAATCAAAGTGTCAGCAGGGCTGACACCTTTTCTCTTCATTACAGTCATTTATTTTAATGATCAAATTGCCCCAGATATGGCTAGGAGGAGCCCCCTAAAGCTGGCTCCTGTGCCCCCAACCATTGTATTTTTTGGAATTTTCTTTTTGGCTTGACAAAATGTCCCAGGCTCAATAGATTTATGCTCCAGCCTTGGAATCAGCCATTTCTCCAAGGAGCCTTGATTCCTTTTAAGTGATTTAAAAACAATGTGTGCTCAGCGTGCTCATCGCTACTGAGATGTTTTGGTTTCTAGGTCCTTACAGTGAAGAGAGCTAGCAAATATATATTTTTTTATATCCCTATCTGTCTGTCTACCTCTTTTTCCTTCCTTCAACTGAAAAATAGGGGGACCATGGGGGAACAAATTGAGAAATGCCTCCAAAAAACGTGAAGGCTGGATCTGAGCCTTTATTATCTGTGGAGGAATATGAGACCTGATTAGGCAAGCATCAATTTGGGTAAATTGGGTAAATTGAGGAAGGAAATCTCAGGATGAGATTTTACAAATGATACAAAGAAACTTACTGATGACAGCAAAAAACTGTAAAGGCTGGTTAGCCACTTGTAAAACAAAAAGTAAAGTTTGCAGTAAAAAAAGTAGTTCACTGTTTGTTGCTAGTTAAACTAATGCTGTTAACTAACCTTATCTTAAACAAAATTCCACCATCAATCAACCGCTTCACAAACCTCTGGAAATTTCCTTTTGCAGACCACCCCCAAAGTCAGTTCTCCCTGGCCCACACTGGACCACACTTATAAAAACACCCCATAGCTCTTGCCTCTTTGAAGACAGCAGACACTCTTTGCCACCTCTGTCCGTTATGCCCTTCACAACGTATCTTCCCTTTAATAAATGTACCTTTCTTAATTCATAACTGTCTTGGTGAATACTTTCACCCCCATGACTCCGGCCATACCAAGTCTGCTATCACTTATGGCATTATTCACTGGGCTCTTTTGAATTAAAATGTATAAACTTCAGGAATATGGAGTTGGTCTGAAGCAGGCTGGGTGCTAGACCATTTCATGGCACAGTCTTCCACCGTAATAGCCAATACTAAACATTTACTGTGTACCAGGCTAAGTGCCTGCCATATGCTTATTATCTCTTCTAATATAATTATTATGAAGCACATACTTTTATTCTTTTCTGTTCTACAGATGAGGAAACAGAGGCGCATAGAGACTGAATGACTTGCTGAAGATCACACAGCTAATAAGTGCAAAACCAGAATCGGAACTTGGTCTGTCTAATCCTAGACTCTGCATTCCTACAACTAAAAATCTACTGTTGGTCCTAACTCAAGCTACATTTCCTCCAGCTCTTGAATCTGATCAATAGCAATCCTGGGAAACTAAAAGTGGTTTCTTAGCAATAGAAAGCAGAATATTATGTCAAGTGTTGGCAGCGCCCCTGGCCAACAGTAGCTGCAGTACCTGCATTTTCCCTTCCTCTCTCTCCTCCCCAGGGCTTTTCTGTGGCCCCTTGTGAAGTAATTGAGCCTATCTTGTCTAGGTCATATATGCCTGTAGCTTCCAACCTCACAATAGCACAGCTTGCTGGTGTTTACAGCCCTTCTCCAGGACATTTATGTCTTTCCCTCTCAAGGGTAAAAACCTGTAAGTTGAGGCCTTAACCACCCTTACCCACCAATGCACCAAACTCCTCTCAGGTCCTGATCACCCGCAGGACCTAGTAAAGCTGGAGAGCTCTAGGAAAAAGTCCATTTGAACCTAAGAGCTAATGACAAGTATGTATTTGTTGGTTCTTTTGGGAAGGATGTGATCTAGTAATGTCTCATATTTATCCTAAAAGAAATCTGAGTTTGTTAGAATGTGTCTATTTTAAAAATCAGATTAAGTTTGCAAAATACCATGACTCTGTTCTGATGTTCCCCAGGCCCCCAGGATGGAAACTGACTATCTGAAGAAGTGCTTTGGAGACTGCCTGACCCAGGCACTGGCAGAGGTGGCGAAAGTTCGGCCCAGTGACCCTATAGAATACTTGGCTCACTGGCTTTATCATTATAGAAAAACAGCTAAAGCTAAAGAAGAGGTGTGTATATATACTGGGTCTGCTTAGGGAGGGCTTAGTTTTCTTAGAATAATTTGAAATCCAAGGCAGGATTCTGGAGCTGGCTTGGAATTTCCTGGTTTATTCCACTTTTGAGCATTACCTAGGCCCTGATGTCCCTGAAGTGTGGGGAGCCTGGGAGCAAAAGAGAGGATCCAACTCAGAGAAGTTGTGGAGTTGGTGGCTTTGGGGCTAATAGCAGGCTAAAGTCACTTATAGGTGGAAACTCTGCAGGCCTGAAGAGCACAGCACCCAGGTCTCTCCCCAGTGAGGGAGGGCCTGTTTATAAGGCTTCCCTGGTGCTGACCTGATTCAACTCTGTCACATCACCTCAGAATAGGCAAGAGAAGAACCAGCTGAAGGAGGAATATGACAGTTGCCTCAAGGAAATAGAAATGACAGAAATGCTGAAAACAAGAAGAGTGTCAGATTCAACAGAAGTGTGAAAAGTGTCACGAAGTAGGGAGGAGGAACTGAGTATTGGGCACACACACATCTCAAAGATGGAGTCCAGGAAATCCACAAGTGAGCCTGACCACAATGCAAGGCACACCAAGGCTCCCCTTGGCCTACTTTTTATTCCATATTCACATATAAACCAATCTTATTGACAATCCTTGTCAATAAAATCTCTGTCAATGAACAAAGGAAATGTTTTTTAAAAAAACTAATTTTAGATTTCAGGACATACCTTTGTTGTTCCTGGTTTAAAAATCAAAAACTTAAAAAAAATTATTCACCTGGAACAAATATTTTTTCATAGAAGGTCTTTTGAGCTCTTAATTATTTAGTATTTTTCAGAAAACAAATATTGTTATCAGTTACATAATTTAGATATAATATTTTACTTAGTATTTTATTTATTTTTATGTCAAGCCTCAAATGTCTACTCTATGATGCTGTAATATTGGACATAAATTATTAACCTGGAATAGTTAAGACAACTCTGCATCCATCAGTCTGACAAGCAAATCTTACCTCCCACAATTTTTTCTACAATCTCCTGAAAAACGTCATGTACTATTATATACTTTCTTTTCTTTTTTCTTTTTTTTTTGAGTTGGAGTCTCACTCTGTTGCCCAGACTGGAGTGCAGTGGCAGGCTACCAGCCACCGCAGCCTCGACCAGCTGGGATCCGGCAATCCTTCGCCTCAGCCTTCCAAGTAGCCGGAAGTACAGGCGTGCGCTACCACGCCCGGCTAATTTTTGATTTATTGTAGAGATGAGGTCTTGCCAAGTTACCCGGATGGATCTTGAACCCACGGGCTCAGGCAATCCACTCGCCTTGGCCTCCCAAAGTGCTGGGATTACAGGCTGAGCCACCGAGCCTGACCAACCATTGTATATTTTCTACAAAGTACATAATACCTGGATAGAGAGTTGACTTAGTTGCAGTGCTGGGCTTAATATCTGACATCTTTTTAACTAGGGAAAAAAGGGCCCCCGAGAAACTTAGAATAGACTTATTCACATTTTGCCTCAGCATAACCATTTTTGCTTAGACTGACATGCTTTGAATCTAGCACAGTTTACACATAGATAAATTTCCATTGGGCAACTTTTAGGAAGCGGTCAGATATTTTACTGCCGGCCATGCTGACAGCCTACCCCACCCACTCAGCAAATCTCCATCAGATGCAAGACAAGGACAGCTCAACATTTCAATTCATAATTTAGCATAATAATCTCTAAGAAACTTTCAGTTTCTTTGTCGAAAGTGGAAATCAAAGATCACCCCTTAGCTGGTCAAAGCCATAGAAATGATAATAAGGAGCTTGTGGATTGGAAATGTCTGAAGGGTCTCTTGCAGGAGAAACCCTTCCCCTTGTCTCCTCCCATCTAGCCTACCACCATGGCAGCAATTATGTGACTAACCTGCCCATCTGCCTGCTGTCCATCACCTGATGTCAGTACCTGTGCTTATCTGCCCCTTCTTGCTGGTGTGGAGCAGACTACCACCCAATTACCTTAATGACCTTTCCCCATCAAAGGGAAGGATTAAAAGGATTCAACCATGAGCAACCAGCGGCCATTGCCTTGCTAAGCTATGGTGTGGCCACGTTTTCTTAAGCTTTGGCCCCCTCCCCTACCTTGGGGAGGTGAATCTCCTCTCTCTCTCTCTCTCTCTCTAATTTACTTTCTAAATAAGCCATATTTTCTAATCTAACTTCTGGGAATTCTTTGCATCTTTCTTGCAGCACCGGTTTGCACACCAGACACCCATACTCCCTCACCTAACACTGTAGAGACCCCGCTGAGAGTGTGACCTAACATTTTTGGAGGCCCCAGCGAGATTGTGGCCTATCAACTATCTCTGCACTCTGTACAGTAGAATCTTTGATGCAGTCCTATACAATTCACTAACTTTTGCTAGTTTCCAAAGCCAACTTTGAAGAATGAAGATTTTAAGCTTATTTACTGTTAGGTCACACTCCTAGCGGGTCCTCCAGAATGTTGAGTCAGGCCCGCTGGGGGTGTGGTGTCTAGTATGTGATCCTTTGCCATGAGAAAGGTGCAAAGAATTGCACAGAAATTAGATTAAGAAATATAGTTTATTTGAAAAGTAAACTTGAAAGAGAGAGAGAAAAAGGAGATTCACTTCCCCAAGGTAAGGGAAGGGGCCAAAGCCAGGAAGCATGGCCTGGCCATAGCTCAAAGAGCACATGGCCACACCATAGCTTAGCAAGGCACTGGCTGCTCGTTGCTCATGGCTGAATCCTTTTAATCCTTCCCTTTGATGGTGGAAGTTCATTAAGGTAATTGGGTGGTGGTCTGCTCCATATCAGCAAGTAGGGGCAGATAAGCACAGGTACTGACATCAGGTGATGGACAGCAGGCAGATGGGCAGGTTAGTCACATGATTGCCACCATGGTGGTAGGCTAGATGGGAGGAGACAAGGGGAGGGGTTTTTCCTGCAAGAGACCCTTCAGACATTTCCAATTCACAAGCTCCTTACTGTCATTTCTATGGCTTTGACCAGCTAAGGGGTGATCTTTGACCTTCCACCTTAGACAAAGAAACTGAAAGTTTCTTAGAGATTATTATGCTAAATTATGAATTGAAAGGTTGGACTGTCCTTGTCTTGCATCTGATGGAGATTTGCTGAGGGGGTGGGGTAAGCTGCCAGCTTGGCCAGCAATAAGATATTTAACCGCTTCCTAGAAGCTGCCTATTGGAAATTTATCTATGTGTAACCTGTGCTAGATTCAAAGCGTGTCAGTCTAAGCAAAAATGGTTTTGCTGAGGCAAAATGTGAACTAAGTTTATTCTAAGTTTCTCATGGTCCCTCCTTTCATTTACATTTATACTGATATGCTCAACATCCTCATAAATAATTAATATATTTACTTTTTAAAGGCTGAATTTTTGTAAATAAATCAAGAAAAACATGGTTTCATACTATTGTTTGACAATAGTCTAAGAAACCCTTCCTTAGGAAGGAATCGTGCTTTGCACAAATGTTTGGGAATGCATAAGGTGAGGCTCTTTAAGCAGAAGTTGTCATCACCTTGCTTTCCACTCTAATACTTTCCTAGCACCATGCTTCACTGTTAATAGAAATGGAAATACATAAGGTAAAAAAAGGCTCCAGAAACTCCACCCTAGTTTTATGGTACCTTTATTAAGACAACTTTGCTCAATATTTTGAACTGACTTTTTGTGTTGCACTCAGGAGGTTCTGCAATCTGTAGCAATATTTCTTAGCAAGATTTAGATAAGTAAAAGGCATGTCATTTTTTTTCCACGTGTGTGACAAAAGCCATGTAAGGGGAGATGAGAAATGATAGCCAGCATGATACCTAGGCTATGTGCAAGTTCTGTTTAAGAAAGATTTCATATGCAAGTTGTAGTTATGGAAATTGATTCCCTTTGTTCAAAGGAAATAAGCAAAGATAACCCAATTGTGATCTAAAACAAAGCTAAACTTATTACTTACCTTGCAAAGGAAAGCCACATCATTCAAGTATGAGTTACTGTCCAGGTAAAAGTTGGCAGGGCTAGATAAGGTACCAAGAGGTAGGGATATATCAAATGACAAGATTCCAAGTTCTGGTTTCTGATTGACTCAAGGTGAACTACAAACTATTTCTTGCTATTTGTCACCCTCAAATGTTGTGTCACTAGTGCTGGGAAACCTGGTTTCAAACTGGCCCAAGATGGGTTGCATAAAATTTCAGCAGGCCTGCTGGTTTACCTGATGGGCTTATTGCATATACTCAAAGCTGTGCGAGACTTTTCATTACTCTTTTAAAATCATCTTTGCTTTCTTACATCTTTGAATACCTGAGATTGAATACTACTAGCTTAGAAAATGTACAAGGAATAGAAATAGAGTGCTATGCACTCCTGTAGTTTCAGCTACTTGGAAGCCTGAGGCTGAAGGATCACCAGTTCCCAGCAGGTCAACGCTGGGGTGGCTGTGAGCATGCCGCTGCACTCCAGTCTGGGCAATGGAGTGAGACTCCAACTCAAAAAAATAAAATAAAATAAAATAAGAAATAGAGTGCTATAGGAATCAAGAAGAGGTCATAGAGGAGGTAGTATTTGAGTCAGGCCTAGAAGAAAGTTGGCAAATGTTGCCCTTGTATTGTTTTTCTCTTCATGAAGCAGAGGCAGCTCTGAAGAAGTAAACCAGAATTCTGTTTCTAAATCAGAAAGAAATTCCTACTGTTTATAAAAATCTGAACCTCACAAATGTTTTAGAAATATATGTTTATAGAATCAATAGATATTTGCTATATAGTTTCAGTACTTAGAAGAGTCGTAGAGATCATGTGTACAAGGGTTTCACAAACCTCTCTGCAGTGTCCCATAGACTTCATCGTAGAGTGGACTTCCAGGACTTCTAGGTTAACATTGGGGTGGAAGTGGTCAGCAGAGCCTAAGCACCAAGCATTTCTACCTCAGCCAGGGACAATTACATGGATGTTAGACTGCTTGATATTGCCCATTAGGTTACTGAGAGTCGGATCATTTTTTCAATCTTTTCTCCTTTGTGTTTCAGTTTGGATAATTTCTACCGATCTGCCTTCAGGTTTGCTGACTCTTTCTTCTGCAATGGCCAATGTCCTATTCAGGAATTCCATGAATTTTTTTCATTTCAGATATTGTATTTTTACTTCTGGAATTTCCATCTAGCTCTTTTTTTTTTTTTTTATAATTTCCACTTTCTTTACTGATACACCCTGGCTTTCACTTATTATGTCTATTTTCTCCCTTAAATTTTTGAGAATGTTTATAATGGTTCTTAGTCCTTGTATGATAATGTCATCATCTGCATAATTTTGGGGTCTCTTTCTATTGAATACTTTTCCTCTAGATTACAGCTCACACTTTCCACTTCTTCACATGTCTAGTAATAATTATTTGTATGCTGAACATCATATATGATACTTTGTAGAAACTCTGGATTGTGTTGCTTTCCTTTAAAAGATATTGAGTTTGTTCTAACAGGCAGTTAAACTGTTGGTGAATCACCTTGTTCCTTTTAGGTTTGGTTTTATGCTTTGTTAGGATCTGTTTCAGTTTTGTCTATAGTCTTGGGCATAAAAATAGCAATATTGTGTTCTTGCCATACCTGTGTGTTTTACCCTCTACTAATAATAATTTCTTTGTTTTCTATTTAGGAACTGATTTCCAAAACTGTTTCCACAAATAAGATCATATTTATGCAGGAGGACATGAAACCCCTTGAGAAGGAGAACTTGAAGCAGGAATCCCTGCCAGGTACTTCCAATATGATTCCAGGAATCCTTCAGCAGGTTCCTCCTTCAGAATCCACTGGCCAGACTAACTGGAAGTTCAGAACTCCTCAAGAAAACAATTACAAGGAGACTTTTCAGCATGAAGTTGCTCATGAAATGCCTCCTGGTTCCAAATCCCCTTTCTAAGTTATCAGAAGGTAAATGATTCTAATAGCCTTTCCTCAAAACTGGAAAATAACCCTCTGAAAGATCTCTGGTTTAAAGTCCTGTTCTGATAGCGATGAAAATCTCTTAATCATGTGAAGATTTGAACTAGTTATAGGATAAAATAAAGTCAGAATAAGGATTTAAAATAGGTAATGTAACAGATGAGACTTTTTCCTCTTCTGTCATTTTTTTGGAGACTGCACAGTAAAAACATCCATATTGCATGTTCATGTCCTAACTTTAGTTGTACTTTTCAATAAAGCCTCTCAGGGTATTTCTTAGACATAGCCTGGAGTTTGCCTGTGTCACTAATAACAAGTATTTTTCTTCAACAAATGTTATCAATTTTTCTTACATGTTTTTCCAGTCTTTTAAATTGTGATGAAATACATGTAAGATTTATTATCTTTACCATTCTTAAGTGTACACATCAATAATATTAAGTACACTCATATTCTTGTGCAACTGTCGCCACCATTCGGCTCTAAAACTTTTTTCATCTTGCAAAGGTGAAAGTCTAAACTCATTAAACAGCTTCCTATTCCCCTTCCCCTAGACCCTGGCAACCACTATTCTACTTTCTGTCTCTATGATTTTGACTGCTCTAAGTACTTCATATAAGTGGGATCATACAGTATTTGTCTTTTTGTGACTGACTTATTTCATTTAACATAATGTCCTCAAGGTTCCTCCATGTTGTAATATGTATCAGAATTTCCCTCCTTTTTAAAGCCAAATAATAATGCAGAAGATTAAAACAAGACCCATACCTATCACCATACACAAAAATCAACTCTAAATGGATCAAAGACCTAAACATAAAACCTCAAACTATGAGAACCTTAGAAAATGCAGGAGATATCCTTGTGGAAATTGGAACTGGCAACCAATTCCTGATCAAAACCCCAAATGGTCATGCCATAAGAAATAAGATAGACGAGTAGGACCTCATCAAACTGGCAAGCTTCTGCAAAGCCAAAGAAACCATCAAGAGAGCAGGGAGTCAACCCACAGACTGGGAAAAAAAATTTGCCAACTGTATGTCTGACAAAGGCCTAATATCTAGGATCTACAGGGAACTCAAATGTGCTGAAAAGAAAAAAAAAGCCCCATTACAAAGTGGGCAAAAGATATGAATAGACAGTTCTCAAAAGAAGACATACGAGCAGCCAACAGATACATGAAAACATGCTTAGCCTCACTAGTCATCAAGGAAATGCAAATTAAAACCACACTGAGATACCACCTATCTCCAGTCAGGATGGCCATCATCAACAACTCCAAAAATAATAGATGCTGGAGAGGATGTGGCGAAAAGGGAACATTTCTACACTGTTGGTAGGAGTGTAAACTAGTACAGCCTCTGTGGAAAACAGTGTGAAAATTCCTAAAAGATCTAAAAATCAACCTTCCATATGACCCCACAATCCCCCTACTGGGAATATACCCGGAGGAACTCAAATCACTCTATGAAAAAGATACCTGCAGTATGTTTATTGCAGCATTTTTCACAATAGCAAAAACATGGAACCAACCGTGCTGCCTATCAAAAGAGGACTGGATAAAGAAATGTGGTACACATACATGATGGAATATTACAGAGCCATAAAGAAGGACAAAATCATGAACTTTGCAGCAACTTGGATGGACTTAGAGTCTATAATACTGAGTAATTTTCACAGAAACAAAGAACTGAGTATCACATGTTCTCACTCATAAGTGGACTTTGAACAATTATCATAATACTCCAAGAAAAGGATGGGCAGAAGCAGGAAACTGCCAAGGGTGGGGGGAGGTGGGATTGGCAGTGTGGTTTTAATTTGCATTTCCTTGATGACTAGTGAGGTTAAGCATTTTTTCATGTATCTGCCTGGGAATAGGGGGGCATACCTCATCAACAAGGATACCTGCATAATGAACATTTCTATACCTAACCCTGAATTGTACCTCACATCTTTAAAATAAAAAGGTAAAAGTTAAAAAATAATAAATAAGTAAAGCCAAATAATAATCTGTTGTATGTCTATGCCACATTTTGCTCATCCATTCATCTGTCAGTGGACATGTGCACATTTTAGCTATTAAAAATAACCTAAATAAATAAAATAAACTCAGAATAAGGATTTAAAATAAGTAATGTAACAGATGAGACTTTTTCCTCTTGTATCATTTTTTTGGAGACTGCACAGTAAAAACATTCATATTGTATGTTCATGTCTGTGTACAAATGAACATGAGTGTACAAATATTTCTTCAACACCCTATTTTCAGTGCTTTTGAGTATATACTCAGAAATGGAACTACTAGGTGATATGGTAATTCTTTTGTTATGAGGAGCTGCCATTCTGATTTCCACAGCAGCTGCACCAACAATGCACAGGGTTCCAATTTCTCCACATCCTCACCAACCTTGTTATTTTCTGCTTTTTTGATAGTAGCTATCCTAATGGATGTGAGACGGTATCTCATTGTAGTTTTGATTACATTGTATTGATTTACATTTCCCTAAGATTACTGATGTTGGTGTTTACTCAGGAAGCAGCCTGAGACTCTCACCAAATGCCCGATCTTCCAGACAGCAGCCTTGAGCCAAATAAAACTTTTTTCTTCATAAATTACTCAGTGCTAGGTATTCTTTTATAGCAATACAAATGGACTAAGACACTGCCTTTCCTAATGTGGGCCCTGTGGGACTACACAAGTCACAGACTAGTGAAGCCAACCCAGATTCAGTCAGGACTGCTGCCCACCTGGAGTAGGAGTATCTGTGATGGGACAAGTCTTCCCTAATCATAAGGTCAGGCCTTAGAATGAGCAGCTTAAGAGCAAAGGTCACACTACTAGCCTCTCTCCAGGGTAGGCCAGATCTCCCACTGGCCTTACGTTGTAAAAAACACACACACACACACACACACACACACACACACACACACACACACACACAATATTCACTCAAGGCTAGTATATGCAGGGACCCCACGTGCCAAGCTCAAAGGAAATACTCTTAACTTGGGAACTCACTACTATTGTGCCATCCCCTCTTTGTCTCAATGGCTAGCCCATTACAAACCAGATGGTCAGAGACTGGAATGGGCTCTCCTTAGAGCCTCAGAGAGTTAAAGGAGTCCCAACCACCATTCATGGGCATAATAGACTTAACAGGCTGAGTGGACTAGCCTAGTAACCTAATATCATTTAAATCTCTATGGTATCACAATAAGAGAAGTGGAAGCGTGTTTTAGACTACAACTCATTTTAATGTTGAGGATTGCCTATCCAGAATGTCAGACAGACATTTAACCACCACACTGTGCTGCTTTGTCTGATCTAAGACATAATTAAGAAGGAGGCCAGGTGCAGTGGCTCACGCCTATAATCCTAGCACTTTGGGAGGCTGAGGCAGGAGGACAGCTTGAGTCCAGGAGTTCAAGACCACCCTGGACAACATACCCGATCCCATCTCTATATTTTTTTTAAAAATAATTTTTTTAAATTATTCAGGAAACGGAAGGGAATTTGATCACTGACAGGGTGAAGAGAGTGGGGGAGTGGAAAAATCCGAAAGGGCTGCCAGTTTTCTAGCTTCAGTCACGTGGGTGGATGGCGGTGGCTTTTCTATCAATAAAGGACACAGAAGGAAGAATAGGTATGGGCATGTGAAGTATGCAGTGCCTGTGAAAGGAAAAGGCAGGAGGCTGCCATATGGGAGGGCAGACTTGAGCCACTGCACCCCTACCAACCCCATGAAGGCAAAAGACCCTGCCCAGATTTAGCTTTACTGCAAGATGCTAGAGCAGAGTGTGGAGTTTGCTGTACATCATCTAAAGGAGACTCAGAAGGTTTGTATTTCAACTCAGCAAATGGCAGACGATGTTCATTTCCAAGTTGAACAGTTTTAAATATTTTATATCCTGTGAGAGACATTCCTGGACATTGGGAGATAATAATGCTTGCCTTGGAAGGGCATCATTTTGGCTTTCTTCTATTCTAAAAGCAAATTGAGCTTCTTAGCTATGTTTTTGTTGTTGTTGTTGTTTGAGTTGGAGTCTCACTGTCACCCAGGCTGGAATGCAGTGTCACACTCACGGCCACCGCAGCCTTGACCTGCTGAGCTCAGGCCTTCCATCTCAGTCTTCCAAGTAGCTGGAACTGCAGGCATGTGCCACCATGCCCAACTTTTAGTTATGTTTTTAAGTCCATAATAAAATAACCGTATGCTACCTGATGGCAACACGAGGCCAACTTGGGGTCAAGAATGAGATTACAAATATTTCTTAAAATCATTTTCAAGCCTTGCCTCCTCCAAGATAGCAGTCTCCCTGTGGCACTTGCATTCACTGTTTAAGGCTTAGTGTCCTCTCCAGCCCATAAAGAGCCAGCCACTTCAGCCCATCCAGGACTTAGGCCCAAGAACTCATATCTCTTCTTACTTTCTAATGCTTCAGCTGAAATTGTGTAACATCATAGACACTGTTTCCTTTAAAATTGTTAGAGAGGGCCGGGTGCAGTAGCTCAAGCCTGTAATCCCAGCACTTTGGGAGGATGAGGCAAAAGAATTGCCTGAGCCCAGGGATTTGAGACCTTTAAGAGCAGCCTGGGTAACTTGGTGAGATCTCATCTCTACAATAAATACATAAATAAAATATTAGCTGGGCATGGTAGCGCGTACCTGTAGTTCCAGCTACTTGGAAGACTGAGGCGGAAGGATCGCCGGGGCCCAGCAGGTTGAGGCTGCGGTGGCCGTGAGTGTGCCACTGCACTCCAGTCTGGGCAACAGAGTGAGACTCCAACTCAAAAAAGAAAGAAAGAAAGAAAGAAATTGTTAGAGAGATGTTAGGGGAACACGGAAACCCAATAATATGGGAATATTGATGAAAATGTGGACTATTTTAAAGTACAATTACAAATCATTTTAATACTGTGTTCTCATCTTCCATTTTTCTGAATGATCTTAGCACAGGCTTTATTGTTGGGCACATGGTATTGATTAGCTTAGCCATATCAAGTTAATTCCTGTATTAATTCCAAACACCAGACACTCAGTGGAGATCTAAGGTAGACAGCATAGAGAACGGGCAGGGAAATGAAGACCAATAAGGTAAAATCATGTTAATTCTTTATTTTAATGTTTAGTGAAAATGAGAGAAAATGCCTAAATCATTTGCCTTAGTGATTCACAAAAGAAGTGGATAGAGTCAACTGAAGGCTCCTTCAGATACCCCTCTCATCCACCATGATAACTCAGTGCTACTGATACTTTTATCCAATTCCTTCTGGTATGCCAGGACAGAGAAAAGATTAAGGATCTTCTGTTCTATGTTTTAATATTGAAGACTGAATGTATTTGTTTTCTATTGCTGCATAACAAATTACCACAGCTAGTGGCTTAAAATGATACCCATTTAGTATCTCATAGTTCTGCAGGTCAGAGGTGCAGGCATTACTTAGTTTGATTTTCCGCTTACAGTCTCAGACTGAAATCAGGATGTCGGTCATGGCTATGATCTCATCTGAAGCTCAAGGTTTCCTTTCCAACTCATTGGTTCTTGGCAGGATCCTGTTTCTTGTGGTTGTAGCACTGAGGACCCTGCTTTTTTGCTGGCTGTCAGTGGGGAACCAGTCTTAGCTTCAATAAAATACAAAATTAAGATGATTTTACCTTGGGTCTTCATTTCCCTGCCCGTCCTCTATGCTATCTACTTCAGATCCCCATTGAGTTGGCTGGTGTTTGGAATTAATACAGGAATTAACTTGATATGGTTGAGCTTATCAATACTATGTGCCAGACAATAAGGCCTGTGCTAAGAGCATTCAGAAAAATGAAAGATGAGAATACAGTATTAAAATGATTTGTAATTGTACTTTAATTGTGCCACATTTTCATAGGCCACCCTACAATGTGACCCTCTCCAAAACATGTTTGCTCCTTCAAGGCCAGCAGAAAAATCTCTGCTGATGTGAGCTTCTCTAACTCCTTTTAAGGACTCACCTGATTAGGTCGGGTCTGCCCAGAACAACATCCCTTTTGATAAACTCCAAGTCAGTTGATGAGTAGCTCAATAATGGCCATGACAGAACCTCCTGTTCACTGAGCTTATTAACACCATGCGCCACGGCACACACTCAAGGGAGGAGATTATACACAGTCAAGGGCCATCTTAGAATTCTGCCCACCACCCTGAACATACAACTCTTCAAAAAGTAGAGGGCTACATCAGAGAAATAATGCAAGGTAGTACATGAGGCATTCAAAGGCACTAAGCATTCAGAGACAACGAGAATTACACAGTGGAAAAGGCCCTTACTGAGCCAGATTGAGAGAAGACCCAAGCAAGTTAAAGCATGGGGTGGGGGAGATGAGTGAGGAACCAGCAGAGAGTTCTTAGGGAGAAACTGCCCATGGAAAGGTGCAAATTGCTATATGGACTGGGAGAAATATGAGAGCTCATCAAATGCTGGACTGCTTGGCCAGGCAGTGGGATATGGAAATAGGGAGAGCCAGGTTAGAGGATAGAAAAGAAAAATTCCTGTTGAGAAATGTGGGAAAATGCCTTCACTGGGAAACATCCCACCTTGTGGGCTTTTAGAATAAATGCTAATTTCTCAAATTCATGTCTCTTTAGCGAAATGCTCAAATTGAGATATCATCTCAAGCTTCTCAGATTAGAGAAATATAGAGACCATAATCCAATCTCCTCATTTTGTAACATCAAGGAAAGAAAAGATTTACAGCTGGCATTGTAGTACCCATCTCTGTACTTCTCTGCTCACTCAAAACATACATCCTTAGGACATATATCCTTAGTACACCTTTCGAAGCCATTCATCATGTGGGGGTCCTGCCAGCCTTTACAGTGACTTTCTCCATCTCGTGCCCTGAGACACTTGAAAAGCCAGCCACATAGAATAATCTGCAAATGCCCAAGTTCATTGTGCCTTTGTCCATGCCATTTCCTCTGCTAACATTTATGTCCTCCTTTGCATGTGCTGATGTGCCATTTAAATGGGCATCCTAGGCCAGGCTCGGTAGCTCAGCCTGTAATCCCAGCATTTTGGAAGGCCGAGGTGAGTGGATTGCCTTAGCCTGTGGGTTCAAGACCAGCCCAGGCAACTTGGTGAGACCTCATCTCTACAATAAATAAAGGGACATCCGGCCAGGCTCAAGGGCTCAGCCTGTAATCCCAGCACTTTGGGAGGTCGAGGTGAGTGGATTGCCTGAGCCCGCAGGTCCGAGACCCACCCAGGCAACTTGGTGAGACCTCATCTCTACAATAAATAAAAAATTAGCCAGGTGTGGTAGCACGCACCTATAATTCTGGCTACTCAGAAGGCTGTGGCGGAAGGATTGCCGGAGCCCAGCGGGTCGAGGCTGCGGTGGCCAGGAGCATGCCACTGCCCTCCAGTCTGGGTGACGAAGTGAGACTCCAACTCAAAAAAATAAAAAAATGAAAATAAAGGGGCATCCTTCTGCCCATCAGGATCTCCTCGTGACCTTTCCTGGCTCTCTTCCCCCTGCCTTGGCAGCAGAAATAGAACCTCACATCAGAGGGAGGATGGCTGTAGGGACTGCTCTGGCACCTCAGCCACTCCAGGGGTCAGTCCCTGCTGCCACATCTGTCTTCTGCTCTAAGTCCCTCCTTCCTGCCCTTGACTCTGACCCCTTGGTATCCACATCATGAGACAAAAACTCTCTTACATGCTTCCATTCTCAGCCTCTTTGCTTCTGTTCCTTCCACTTCCTGCCTTAGAAGACAGCCACCTGGTATTTTCCCAAACCCTATGTTCCCAGCAGCTCTCCCTTCCAGAAGACCAGAATCTTCTGGCCTTCAACTGTTACTGTGAAGTCATTCCCCAGCCCCCCATTTTTAAATATTTCCATTGAGATGAATGACTTCTGACCAAACAACTCACTACTTCTGATGATTCTTAATTTTAATGAGGTTGTATTTGCTTACATATTTGGCTGACTTTTTAAATTTGGGATTCTGTATTCCTGTAAGTTATTCGTGTAAGTTATCATGCAATTGCACAAAGGCCTTTGAAAAATTGAAGTTCAAAACTAAAACTGTGTGATAAATAACACTATTGCCTATGAAAATGAAGGGTTAAAAAAACATGTTAGGCAAAGATGTAAGAATTTATGTTTCTTTCAATTGTTCCTTTCATTGCTTTTGTCCCCCAATTGTGTAGGATTCTATTGGAAGACCCTGTGCTTATACTTACTTAAGTGTGTGTGTGTGTGTGTGTGTGTGTGTGTGTGTGTGTGTTTTAGAGAAAGATTAATTTAACCTCTTGTCAAATGTCCTGTTGCTTTATCCCAAATGCTTAGATATATAAGCCCATGGTCTCGTTTAGGTCTCTCAATCTTGTTCACTAAATAAACCTGGTCTCTAGAAAAATGATTCCTTCCATGGTTCAGGAGAGTAAAAGATGAATCTGGGACACTGTGTGGTTGTTGTCAGAGATCAAGGATGCTTTCAAAAGCCCCTGAGTAAAGGGATCAGTGTGGAAAGAGAAGCTCTAGTAACCTAGTGGTGACACTGGGTCTCAATGAGAAATCGGTGTTGGAATTAGTTGGAATCATTTTAGCCTATAAAAAGCCACAAGTCCATGCTGATGCTTAAAAAGGAACAATAAGGGTACTAAAACAGTACTTTTCAAGCTTAAGTGTACAAACAAATCTCCTGGGTGGGTGGGTGGAGGACTTTTTAAATGGCTGACCAATTCTGATTCACTAGATCTGGAGTGGTGCCTGAGATTTTGCATTTCTACCAGTTTTCTGGGTGATGCCCAAGCTACTAGTCCAAAGACCCCACTTTAATAGAAAAAGGCTAGAACAGGGCTTCTCAGCCTTGGCACTATTGTCATTTTGGACATTCTTTGTTGGGTGAGCTCTCTTAGCAGCATCCACAACCTCTACTCACAAGATACCAGTAGCATATACACATGCACCCAGGTTGTAACAACCAAAAATGTCTCCAGACATTATTGAATGTTTCCTCGTTTTAGGGTGAGCAACCACCCCAGTTTTCCTGGGACTGAGGAGTTTCCCAGGACACAGAATTTCAGTGCCAAGCAGGAAACCGCTGGGCAAACCAGGATAGTTGGTCACCCTACTTGGGGAGCAAAACTGCCTTCATTTGAAAACCACTGTGTGCCGGACTTGGTGGCTCAGTCTGTAATCCCAGCACTTTGGGAGGCCAAAGTGAGTGGATTGTCTGAGCCCGACAAGATCAGCCCAGGCAACTTAGTGAGACTTCATCTCTACAATAAATTAAAAATGAGCCGGGCGTGGTAGCACACACCTATAGTTCTGGCTACTTGGAAGGCTGAGGCAGAAGGATCGCCGGAGCCCAGCAGGTCAACGCTGGGGTGGCCGTGAGAGTGCCACTGCACTCCTGCATGGGCGATGGAGTGAGACTCCAACTCAAAAGAAAAAAAGAAAACCACTGTGCTAGAGGAAAGGCAAACTTTCTAACATGGGTTAATTAGCAGCCATTTTTTTCTTCCTTCCCTCGCTCCCTCCCTCCCTTCCTTCCTTCCTGTATGTGTGTGTGTGTGTGTATGGTGATTTTCTTAAAAAAAAAAAAATTATAGAGCTAAGTGTAGTGGCTCATGCCTGTAATCCCTGCACTTTGGAAGACTGCAGGAGCGTTGCTTGAGCCCAGGAGTTCGAGACCAGCCTGGACAACATAGGAAGACCTTGTCTCTCGATAAAATCAAAAAATTAGCTGGGTGTGGTAGCACATACCTGTAGTCTCAACTACTCAGGGGGCTGAGGTGGAAGG